ATCACAACGACAGAACTCCTCCTGCAGGACGCACCAAGATCTGTCTGAAAAAGAAGGCGTGCTTTGCATGACGGCTGGTGAGCTACACGTAGTGCCCACGTATGCCTCTACCTCCGCCGGGACCTTCGCGGTCTCCTCCTCCTCCTGCTTTGCAACACAGAGTGACCATGTGGCAGCTCAACGTGCCAAGTATGGGTAAGAATGCAATGGCATCCACTATCATGACGTTGCGGTGCGCCTCTTGGGGCTGCTCCTGTCCAGCCTCCTCCTCCACTCCGGCTTTCTTCAGTGCCGCCGGCTCCTATACCGCGCAGGTGCATCTGCTTTGTCAACACTTCGAGAATGCAAGGCACAAGATTTTGTACCTTGGGCATGACGAACAAACCTCTAATGGGATATCTGCCTGATGTAAGCACGCGCCTCCGGTTCGTGCATCTCCGCCGGCGCCTGCAACTTCGCAACCACCAGCATCTTGCAGTGCTTGCATGCAGCACATACCACAAAGCACGCCCCGCCTCTGCACAGGTCTTCTCCACAGCCGCCTCCCCCTGCCACGCAGAAGATGCCGGACACAGAAAACTCTCTGCAGCACCTCTCGTCTTCCCCTTTCCTCCTGCTCCAACAGCCATGTGCGTCTGGACAGCCTCCTAAAATTAATGTTCGTTTCTTCTCTCTTTCGTTGCTGATCCCTTCAATCCTTCCAGAGCCTCAGCGACCTCGACGCATTCCGGTTTTCCGGTTTTTGCTATTCCACGAGCCTTGAAACCGGCCTTCGGCACCTGGACTTCCGGCACGTGGTCTGAATCGAAACATGATTCCCCCAAACATTCATAAAGCGCCCACGACGACCAACATGATTCCCCCGTATCACTAGCCGGGGGTGCAGACAATTTGAAGCCGATCCGTTTGGCGAAAACACGGATTGGACACGGATTTGGCATCGGAAACTCTATACTCTTTCTTCAAGAAGCACCCAGGGAAATGCCGCGTCAAAGCGCCATGCATCCTATTCGGACAACACGAAGAGCTTGCTTGCCAGCCAGCGCGCTAGTGCCCGCGACTGCCTCCTCCTCTGCCGGGACCATCTCAACCATCTCCTGCTGGGGCATCGACTAGCATGACTTGGCAGTGCACCTCTTTCGGCTGCTTCTCTTCCTCAAACCGTTCCTGTTTCGGTACATACACAGTCAGTGTGAGTCGATGTGCAACGGCTGTTCACGGCTGCAACAAATGGATGAGCGTTGTTCTGACGAAGCGCAAACTGTCAATGCGTGTGTGGTCACTGAGCAAACAGCCGCCTAAAATGAAGGTCACTTCTCTTTCGTTCGTTAGAGGTTATATTCATGATATATAAGACTATAGGATGTGAAAGCAGAATTTCATCGCAGCCCTTCCGCCAATCCTTCCAGAGCCTTCTCCACCTCAACGCATTCTGACACGTAGTTGAAATTCGCTTGTTTTGGTTGTCCACGCACATTTCCGTCCCTCCGAGCTCGGATTAGCGCTGCCGCCTCCTAGGTCTCGCAGGAGCGTCTGCTCTACTAGTACCCCATGCGTGACATAAAAGAACTTGTGCCACTGAGCGAGCTTGGACATGGCAAGAGCCTCAATTATGCCTGCTTGATGCAAGCAGTGCTTCAGTTCTTAAACACCCGCCTCTTCTCCGTGCATCTCCACCGGCTCCTGCAACTCTACCACCGCACAGTGCTTGCACGCGGCATGTGCCCCCAAGTATGCCCCGCCTCTGCACGGGTCTTCTCCAAAGCCGCCTCCTCCTGCCAAACAACAAGCTCACCGCCCGGACAGAAGACCCATTTTGGCATGCCCTCTTCGCTTCCCCTCCCTCTTCCTCCTCCAGGCGTGCGCTTTCCTGCACGCTGCTCCACTTGTTATTGACAACCCTCGGTAAAGCTGAGACCGTCCCAGATGAGATTTCTTCAGGACATAGTACAGATGCTGGATTCTGGCCGCCTGCAGCTTGGGCTTGTCCACTGCTGCCTGCAACTGCATCATATCGAGCACCATGTCGTATAGACTAAGCAAGTTCTGAGAAAACAAGGACTTGACTCGACAACTGCCTCTTCAGCCCGGGCTGCCAGCGCCGTCATCGCGTCCTCCTTCCGCAAACGCAGACCAGACTTCTCTCAGCCGCCGGGGAGCCTAGGCCTCGGCCTGTACCTGGCCTGTACGGAAAGACCCAGCTCCAGTACTGGCCGCCGTCCTCTTCCGGCCATGGCCCCCTCTTTCTTTCTCGGGCAGCTTTCACCCTCTCCATGAGCTTCCCAGCGGCCACTTGCAGGGCCGCTGAGCTCGGAACTTTGTCCTCCAGGCCCTTGACCGCCTGAGACCATCTGAGGTCGGAGACTGGAGTGCTGGGGTCGGGATTATCTCTTGGACGGGCTTGGCCTCCTCTGCTCTTTCTGCTTCTCTCGCCGGCTGCTCGTCAGGCTCGTCACCTTCCTCCTCCAAAAACTTGAATCAACACAACTGACCAGTTTAAAGCTCTTCGATCGAAAGCGAGGACAGCCGCGCCTGCACGGGTGTCTTCGACATCGACGCAGAAGTGACATCGGCCTTCCCCTTTGGGTGCACGTTGGAAGGCCGCTCGAAGGCGGCAGCCAATTGTGCGACTGTTTTTGGCGGCTCTTCCGTTTTCTGAATTCGGACCACGGCTTCACCGACTGTTGCCTCTACGACTACGTCTGTCGGCTGTGCTGCACCACTTTCGCCAAGCTCCTTCGCGGGTTGGAAATTGGAGCTAATCACAATACCATGTCGATGGTTGTCTGAGCTCCTGCTTCGGCTCAGCTGGGACAGTCGCTCCCTGTGGAGCCTCCGTCTCCGCACTCAACCTCGCATAGGATTTCTAGGCCCATTCTAGGCTACCGGCGCACTGTCCCGTATCAGTTAGAGAGAACATGGAACATAGCCATGCATGGGGTACCGGCACATACCCGTTGCGTTTCAAATTTCGGGCAAGCCACGTGGACTCCCGTGTCAGCCTCCATTCTTGCAGTCTCCTAGCTGCCGCGGACCTCGCGTGTTCCGCATGTCCCACATCTCTGAAGGCACACACCCGACCCCGGTTAGACTAAATAGATCAGCATCGACACCGACTCGAAAACCCATCCGAGAAAGCTCAAGTTTGATCTTTGCATCCAAAACACACCTTTGGCTGCGGCAGTGGCGACACTTGCTCAGACGCATCCGGCGTTTCTGCCTGTCCCGGAAGTGACCTGTCATTCATTCATCAAGGCTTTGTACCTGCAGGCTGTCCCCCGGATCGGAACGCACCTTGAGGCTGTGGAGTCTGCCTGGACGTCCACGGCCGACAGCCAAGTTCCGATTCTGGACTGTGCGTCCAGCAGCAGCCTCCGACCAAGTTGAGGCAGACGTTGCCGCTCTCTGGACAGAAAACCCCAACGGCTTTGTGCAGCTGGGTAGCTTTTCAAAAGAGTCCCCTGCTGGAAATTGGCAAGAATTACCTTGGTAGCAGCAAGCTCTTTTCCAAGCACCCTGGCATGCCTCGCTGGACAGTCCACAGTGGTCACGATAAGCATGAACTCGTCACTGGATGCCAAAGCTCCCCTCCTGCCCCTCCGGCATCCGAATCTCTGCCATGACACCGGGCAAACTCGAAGTTTGGCTTGTGAGGGGAGAGTTTGAAACTTCCTCAACAGCCAACCCCTGGCAGGAAGGAATCTGCCAGAACTGTCAGACACAACCGGCTCACTTGGCCTCGTCTGCCGCGCATTTTGAAATGAAGTTTTGCAGACGCTCCGGCGAACCGTCCATTGGATTGTCGGGGATTGATTCCCGCACTAGGCCTAGCCATACTAGTAAGTCTAGTCTGAGTTGATGAAAGATGATAACCGACTTCCCTCAGTAGCCTGTTGCTACGAATACCGAAAGCGCTGCCTAGATACTTTTTCAGACCCTGTTTCTACTCGGCGGTTGAACCTGTCTATGATTCCGGCTACTTTAAGCCTGAATGCGTGCATGCACGCCGGGCGGTGAGGCAAAAGTCGCCCGCTGCTGAATGTACAGAGAAGGAGCGAACTCACCGAAGGAGAAAGTCGCAAATGACAACCTACAATTGCGCCCGGAATAAAAGCTGGGACCAACTGTGACCACCTACGAGTACAGTACACAGGCTATAGCACCAACGGCTGCGCTGAAATCCTGAAAAAGACAAGTCAGGTTTAGACTTGAATACTCATCACAACCACAGCGACGAGCAACGCACTGGGCATTTGTTAGACCTCGGTTTCCGAGTCGGGCACAAGCGAACCCCATCTCACGACAGACCTGGATCGCACCTTGGAGGCAAAGAACAATCCCACCAACAGCATGAGATGTCAGCAAGGCATCGATACTCTGAAGCTGAGTGCCCTCTCCCAAGGCTTCCTCTGCAGCGGAATCGGACTTGCGGTGGGGATCGAAACCTCGTGCAGCTGCAAACGCGACACAACACATCGAATATCCCAGGAAAACGGTGCGTGCTTATGTATACCAACAGAACTACGTAATGTGTGACAGTATGTGCGTACTTATCTGTATATATGTGTATGTATGTATGT